ATCGAAGGTTATTTATCGTTAAGTTTGTCTGTCCGTGCAGTTCTTTATGGAGGTGGTGAAAGAACAGTTTAATCAGCTTTTCTCCTCCTGGGCTTGATTGCTAAGCCTGAACGTGAAAAACACGCCCCCTCATTATCATATGAACGACGAAATACAGAAATAAATAAATGAATTAATGAAAAAATAAATAAATAAATGAATTAATGAAAAAAAATAAATGAATACATGGGTAAAGAGAACAGTTATTAAAAATATAGATATGGAAAAAATATATAAAAATGGCATAAATAAAACAAAATAAATAATACAGAAATAAATAAATTGAGGAATATATAACGGCAGAAAATGGAAATATGTGTATCATTACAATCACAATAAGCAATATTTACTTTATTTAGTTTTTATTTATTGATTAATTTACTGAGCCGTTTATTTTTACATTTTTATTTATTTTTCATTTTGGCAAATCTGGTCCTCCATAGTTCCTTGCACTAATGCTCAGATTGATGGAGAACGTGCTGCATATGGTTCAACACAGGACCGTTTTAAAGCTTGACATTGAAATAACAAGAACCATTTTTGCTGCTATATAGAACCAACTACAACACATTCTACATCAATCTGAAGAACCCTTTCACAGTGCAAAGAACCTTGAGTGTTCATGTTTCTATACAGAACCATTTTCTTCACTACAGAACCCTTGAAGAATCATCATTTTAGGCGTGTAGATGTAGTTCAGGACACAGAATGACTTACTGGGAATTGAAAAAAACATGAACAAAACACTAAACTAAAGAATCTAAATTTGGACAGCAAACATGTCTTGGCTGAGCGAGTACATCTGACCCCCTTTTGGAGAAAAATGTACATACAATATATTTCCTCATATTAAAAATATATGTGCTGAATAAATTGAAGTGAGCCATTTTTTACATTTATATGCCAATATATGCACATCTGTTTCAATTTATAGAAGTATAAGCTCACATTTGGATGGGATATATGTATTGGTGTCAGTTATTAATATTACATATATGTCAAACATATGCTATATGAACAAAAGTATTAGGACACACCTCAGGCGTTTCACTCGGTCTCATTGCCACAGGTGTATAAAATCAAGCACCTAGCTGTCTGCCCTTACAGACATTTATGAAAGAATGGGTCGTTCTAAAAAGCCCTGGCAGTCTGGCAGTCTGGGTTTGGCGAATGCTAGGAGAATGTTACCTGCCTGACTGCACTGTGCCAACAACAAGTTTGGTAGAGGAGGGATAATGCTATGGGGCTGTTTTTCAGGGGTTGGGCTCGACCCCTTAGTTCCAGTGAAGGGAAATCTTAATGCTTCAGCAGACCAAGACATTTTGGACAATTGTATGCTTCCAACTTTGTGGGAACAGTTTGGGGAAGAACCTTTTCTGTTCCAGCATGACTGTCCCAGTGCACAAAGTAAGGCCCATGAAGGCATGGCTGGGTGAGTTTGGTGTGGAAGAACTTGATTGGCCCTCACAGAGCCCTGACCTCAACCTCATCGAACCCCTTTGGGATGAACTAGAAAGGAGGTTGTGGGCCAGGCCCTTTTGTCCAACATCAGTGTCTGACCTCACAAATGCTCTTCTGGATGAACAGGCAAAAATTCCCACAGACACTCTCCAAAATCTGAGAGTGGAAGCTGTTATAGCTGCAAAGGGGGGACCAACCCCATATTAATGCCTATGGATTTAGAATGAGAGTCATAAAGGCTCCTGTAGGTGTAATGTGTAGGTGTCCCAATACTTTTGTCCATGTAGTGTATTTTTCCTCTGCAGTGGCAGGGGAGATGAGCTGTTCCTTTAAAGAAAGATATGGTTAATGCAGAAGTGAGGAAGTGATTTTAAGAAAGCAGAAGTTCAATCTCGGGAAAAAAGAATGGAACTAGAAGTGTTTTATCAGCAAAAAAAAACAAAAAAAAACCTTTACCACTTGACTGCCCAGTGTTAGAATGTTAGAATACTCTCTCTTCAGTGTAGTTAGCAAAATAACAGAAAGCTGGTTTATAATAGAGAAAACTGTAACTTGGTTTGTAACAGAAGCCAATGAGAATTTTCTTCAGCACCTGAACAGTGACTTCTATTATAAGTATGTTTAGAATCAACACAGAAGTAGATAAAAGTGTATCCTAGGGGGTTTTAGATAGCATGCTTTGTTTTGGGCCTTTGGCAGGCCACCCTCATCCCATACACATGTCGTCATGTGCAAAAGTTTGAAAACCCCTGGCCAAATTCCATGCTGTTGTTGATTTTCTTAGTGAAAATAGGTTAAAACATCCTCTACAGAGAACTTACGAACTCACAAGGACTTGAATGTGGCATTTTCTGCTAATTTTAGTGCACAATGTCTATTCATTTGCTGAGTTTAACATAAAATAACATATTTAAAAATGCTATAGCCTTTTCCCAGAACCCCCCACCCAAAAATGTTGCTGTAGAGGATGTTTTCACTTATTTACACTGAGAAAATCAACAACATGAGAAATAGAAACTAGCACAAATGCACTGTCAGAAAAAAGTGCACTACATTACTTTCCAAAGGAAAAAGTGCATATTCATTCCTTTTTATAACCTTTTCATATAAAAAATAAAATAAAAAAGCTTGGAGTCCAGAGAGAACTTTGAAACACTTTAAAAAACTATTTGTTTCCCTTTTTATGTTCCTTAGCTCCGTAACTCCACGTTTTTGGGCACAAAACCTTTCTGGGTGCCGTTTGTACCCAAATTAGTACATTTTATTACCTTATTTCCAGTGTCATTGAAGTGAAACATCACTACCACTAAAGCTATGTGAGTGCTGACAGTGTCCCTTCTTGGAGAATCACCAGCCTGCTAAACATGAGTGAGCGATCCATTAGGCTCTTTACATCTGAACATATATCTAAAATAAAAGAGCACTTTGAGAGAAAAGCACATATACAGTTGTATGCAAGTTTAGGAGCCCCTGGTCAAATTCCATGTTTCTGGTGATTTTCTAAGTGAAAATATATAAATAAGTTAACACCTCTTTTACAGAGAATACACCACTGCACATTTAGCTAAAGATGAACATTTAACATTTAATTTCATTGAAAAAAAATAGTCTTGGCTACATTTTGGCACTTATATAGCACTTTAGAACTTTTGTTTTTTTTAGCAATAAATAGAAATTGTGCACTAAAATTTACAGAATATTGCCAATTTAAGTTTAACGAGGATGTGTTCACTTAATTTCACTTCAAATCAACAACTTTTACATACAACTGTAAGTGTGTCCTGTCAGGCTCTGTCTCTTACTGTAAAAGAGGATGAGAATGTGCTTTATCATCATGCAAACTGAGAACTAATCACTGCTGATGCATCAAGAAGGCAAATTATTCTTCTTAATGACATAACCGAGTAGCCTCGGCAGCCCCACTTCAGTCTATCATTTCCTCTAGAAAGAGGACAGAGTTGGTTTTGTGCTGGTTTCGGTTCTTTCAGTGGTGCTACAGAGGTAGTTCATGTAATTAGAAGGCCATAATAAAGCCATCTATAATTTAACTTGGAACAAAGCACGACCAACAGGGTAGAAAATGACAGTGTCTGGTACTTTCAGAGTGGTTCTGTATTTACATTCAAAAGCCCACAAACCCACTCACTAAACCACACCAGCTCACAATCACAGCTAAAGAACAGCACTGAGACGGTTTACTCCTGGGAGAAGAACACAGAGCATCAGGAACAACAGAGGAGAAGAAACTGGTTATAAATGAAGATATTAATCAGAAATTCTGAAGAATTTTAGAAACCAGAAAATCCACCGAGCCCAAAAACAGTTACAGAAACCAAAATAAAATAATTATAAGGAACATACTCAGAATAGGTTGAGCGGAAGGTCTTCGGGCTTCTGTTATTAAAATAAAAAATTGGTGTGAAATTACAGCCCAACCACTAAAATTGAAAATCATCACTCAAGCCTGATCGATATGGAAAACATCAGCAATACGATACTGAGATAAAATACCAATAATCGATAATATCAGCTAAAAATAATTGAATGTGGTCAAATATTAAACAAACTGCAGCAGTTATAGTTAAACAGTGCTTTACTGACTGATAAACAGCTTCAACAAAAAATCTAAAAATCTATAATATAAAATCTAACTTTAAAGGTCCCATAACTTGGAAACCCAAACTGAATTCACAGTTTTTTCAAAACAGTACATTGACATATAGTCACTTACTCAGCCTATAGCAGTTTAGCCCCACCCTTTTACACTGAAGTTATTAGAAATGTTTCAGCAGGACTGCTTTATATATGAGGCAGCCATTCAGAACAGAGCTCATTTACATATATCAGTCTTAAAGGCACAGTAACAAAAACAGCCTGGTGAACTGTAATGTTATATGTGGACCTCAGATGAAAAAATATAAAATACAAATTGGATTTAACCTTATTATAGAAAGAAAGAAATCTCCTACAAATAAACATGCTGACAAAAATGTCAAAACAATACATGAAAACAATATTTATGTGTGCTTTTCTGGAAATGCAGACAAATCCATAGATTTCATCAGCCAAACAATGGATCAGTTGGGCTTTAATTAACACAGTAATAAAATACAGAATCAGGCGTAAAGCTGGAAAAACAACCTGAATTAAATTTTCCTTACACACTGGGAGACCAGAGCTCTGAGAACTGCAACTAAAAAAGCTTTTCAGCATCCACCACCAAGCACAAAGCCAACATGTCTGCTTGCTACATTAATATCTTTCAAAGAGCTCATATCTTACATCTTTTAACGCCCCTAAAGTCAACTTAAAATGTTTCTGTGCTTTTATGTACCAAAAAACAGATGATGCCCTAATTGTAATTAAAGCCCAGCAGTGAGGTTGCTGAACTTTTCCCTTCTCTGTTATCACTGAACACAGGCCGGGTCACCTACAGAGCACTGCTAGTAGCCTGTTAATTAAGTAATGTTTTATTTTTTTTTTTGAGGGTTGTCCCATTGCGTAGGGCAAGATTTCAACCACTACCCCTTGGAAGTGAGTTAGGGTGACAGTCGAAAACAAGGGGTAAAAAGAAGAAATGGGATTGGGCCAAAATGTCCATTTTGAAAGTGTTTACATGCTATATCAAAAAACTCCATGGCAACAGCCTTTTAACGCATCATATCCAAAACGTCGGCAAGTGCCTGCATTTGTACAGCCCTGTCTCTGGTTTATATCTGAATCATCTTTGTAACTCCAGATGTTCAATAGCAGCTGAGTGTGACAGAGCGTCCTCTGGGAACGCTTTGAAGGTTTCTTGCTTTTGCAAGAACCGTGGGAAAGTGAGCCAAGCTGTACGATTTCTGTGCTGCAGTATTGCGACACTTCAGCTTGGCTAGTCTGTCTCGCACAGTAACTACTTCCCTATTTGAGGCATTCGTGGAGAACATCGTGTGACAGTCATTCTTTCTGGGTGCTGCTGATACTTAGGCGGTCTTCTGCGGTACAGGAGGGCGAATAGGAGTCCCACGATGATGAGGCCAATGACTAACAGGCCAGCAGTAATGCTGCCCCACTTAGTGCCTGAATGATCTGAATGACCTTTATCGCCTGAAAAAAGAAAAAATGAATAACCAACTTAATTCTGTGCCAGAGTTAGAGAGTGATCTTCTTTAGACACTGTGCAACAACCTTGATCAATAACGTGTCTTCAGCAGCAGGTTTAGATGGAGTGGAATACAAACATGAGTGTTTGGTATTTAAAGCAGCCAAAAATCAAATTTACCCAAAATTCCCCCTCATCATACACACAGTCAACAAACCAGAACTTGTTTAGAGGCTAATGCAGCTGTACGTAATGCCAGCTTGTAATTACTATTGCACAAACAGCATGGCTACATTATCACACACTCGCCTCTAACTGTGTCGAATTGTTAAAGGGGCACTCCAGCCAAAATTAAAAATCTAACCCCTGCTTTATCAGTTTTGAACATCAGCTTTATTAGAGTTAACTAAAATTATTGCAAAAACGATTTAAAAGCTATAATGTCTACTGTAAAACAAACGAAAACAAAAGTTTTAGTTCTTACATTGCGTGGACCATTTCTGTATTCTCAGAAAGCAAAGCTTAAGCATCATCATAAAACAAAAAACTAAATCAAAAACTGAAACTAATCCTAAAAAAACTAAACTAAAACTATCACATTTCAGAAAATAAAAGCGAAACAAAAACTATTAATACAACCATAAGACTTACTGAGACTAAACTGAAATCAAAACCAAAATTATGTAAAAACTGAATGCATTTTTTTATGGTTTGAGGCACCTTGTTTTCAATTGCTTTCAATGGGAGAGGCGAATGTAGATATTGTGGTATAAACTGAGTCCGTTCTACAGTTTCTCATTAGGTTGAATGAATAACTGGTTCTAAATGTAGATATTGTGATATAAACTAAGTCTGTTCTACAGTTTCTCATTAGGTTGAATGAATAACTGGCTCTAAATGTAGATATTGTGGTATAAACTGAGTCCGTTCTACAGTTTCTCATTAGGTTGAATGAATAACTGGCTCTAAATGTAGATATTGTGATATAAACTAAGTCTGTTCTACAGTTTCTCATTAGGTTGAATGAACAACTGGCTCTGAATGTAAGTACCTGTAAACTTGAGGTGGAATGTGCTCTCTTCTTGGATGAATTTGCTGTTGAGAACAACACACTTGAAAGGCGCCCGGCTCAGGCTGATGCTGGTGAAGGTCAGTTTGCTGGACAGATGTACCAGTTTGTCCTCTCTCTGTGATCTCCAGTGTGGCGTTCTTCGTCCAGTTGGTGTCTGTGCTGTCAAACCAGTGAATGGCTCCTGCTGGATAGCCACCACTATGCAGTTAAGTTCAGCAGGGCCGCCCTCTTCAATCTTTTCTGGCCATGAGCTGATGGATGGTGGGTTGTACTTGGCTAAACAGAGAAAATACATGCAGTTTTAAGTGAGTCCTGTCAAAAGCATTTTAATTGGTGTAGTGGTTCTTAGTCATGTTCCTGCATGTTATAGTGTTTTCCCTGCTCTTATACACCCAGTTCTACTCAAGAACTGGTTAATTTAATCTTTACTTGCAGGAACATAGAACGAAAGGTAGTGTTAGTGCAGGACCAGGTTTGAGAACCACTCACATAGAACCTTTACATTATTACATTTCAAAAGGTTGCACATCTCATTTGCTTAAAGGGGCATTCAACTGTAAAACTAGCATATAATCCACTTTATCCCTGTGCCCCATCATGCTTTAAGTGGCTTATGAGCAGAACTTCCTGTGAAGCATAAACGGACTATATACACCATATGGCCAAAAGTTTGTGGACAAAAGCTCGCGCTCCTCCAATGTTTCTTCCACAATCAAGAGTATTAAAAAGGAGTTTGTCCTCCTTTGCTGCAGTGACAGCCTCTACTCTTCTGGGAAGGCTTTATACTAGATGTTGGAACTGAGGATCTGATTGAGCATTAGTGAGGTCAGGTACTGATATATACATGTTGGGACCACACGGGGGCACCAACCACCTCGTGTATGCCTTTATTTATTGTGATGGGGCTCAGCCGGAAGGAGGAGACCAACGGCGGGAAAACAGGGTTTTGGTTGGAACCGGAAGCGCTGGACCCGCGTCTTTCTCTCTCTCTCTCTATCTCTCTCTCTCTCTCTCTTATGCTCTTGTTCCCCTTTGTGGACTCCTATTACATGTATTTTGGATTTTTGTCGGAGCACCAATTCCATTGACTGATAAAACCTGAACGCTATCATGGCTTGAGCTGGTCGACCACGGGCTCAAGGCTTGGGCTGGCTGGCACCAACCCCTTTCCAGGTAACTCAGAGACTCGGCAGCAGGTGAGTTGGCCTTCAGTGGGGGTTTTGAACTAGACTTAGGCATACACTTTTGCTTAGGCTCATGCTTCATGCTAAATCGCAACATGTAGAGACAGTGTGCCTTGGTTACAGTTAGGACTAGAATATGTAAATTAGACCCTAGACAATTTGCCATTTCTTTCGGCATCATGTTTAGCAGTCTGAAGACTCTCCACAAGAGGGTGCTATTAGCACTCAAGTATTTTTGTGGGTATTACTGAAAGCCATTGATGCCATTACCCAGCATGCATAGTTTTTAAACTGGAGGCTACTGTGCCATGGTAGGATGTGATTTAGGCTTGTTTACAAAAAAACGGGTTCTCCTACAGCACCATCTGAAGGAACCCTTTTTTAAACTTTATTCTTAAGTGAGACGTAAAGGATTCCATTCACTCAAACTGGCAGGAATTCAGCATAAACACATAAAGCTGACACTCTAACCCTGCAGATCACAAGACGCTTTACTTGCTGAGTCAAATGAAAACAGAAAGTGACTCTGAGGGTCCATGTGAGAAACAACAGAGGGCACTGTGTACTCTACTAACAGCCTGCATTAAAGCCTCTAAGGATTGCATTGCTGTGAGGATTTGGTTGCATTTGGATGATCAGTGGATCACTCCAACTTATCCAGAAATTATTGGATAGCTCCATCACTCCAATATCACTAGTTATTTGTCATATGAAGTAGTATTCTATTGCTTAGCACTGCAATCTTTATACCATACCTAGCAAGCGTTACACAAATTCGACATACCCTATTGGGCTAATAAATCCAGTCTTTTCCTAGTCAAATTTTCTGTCTATCTATCTATCTATCTATCTATCTATCTATCTATCTATCTATGTTATATAAAAACAAGCAAGTTAAATAATTTATATTCTTAGTTTTTAAATTTCAAGCAGCCTCACTGGACTATAACTCACTAACTCACTCCTCATGTTTAGCAGTCTGAAGTCTCCCCACAAGAGGGTGCTATTAAAATCATGTTTCCAAAAAGTTGGGATGCTATGCAAAATGTAAATAAAAATAGAATGCAATGATAAGCAAATCATTTAAACCCATTATTTAATTGAAAATAGTATACAGACAAAGTTGTGTAATGGTAAAAAAAAACACCTGGTGGTTAATTGGTAACAGGCCAGTAACATGATTGGGTGTAAAAAGAGCATCTCAGAGAGGCTGAGTCTTTCAGAAGTAAAGATGGGGAGAGTTCACCACCCTGTGAAAGACTGTGCAGGCAAAGAGTGCAACAATTCAAGAATAATTTTTCTCAACATAAAACAGCAAAGAACTTGGGGATTTCATCATCTATGGTACATATCATTAAAAAGATTCAGAGAAATCTTTGTATTCAAGGGAAAAAATACAATACTGGCTGGCTGCATTACAAACAAACAGACGTGATGGAAATCACTACATGGGCTCAGGAACCATTGTTTGTGAACACAGTTTGTTGCTGCATCCACAAATGCAAATTGAAGCTCTACTTATTTCTACCACATAGAAACAGAATCAAGAAATGCTGCCACTTTCTCTGGGCCCGAACTTGTTTAAGATGGACTGAGGTGACAAAACAAACTTTGAAACTCTTTTTGGAAATCATGGATGCCGCGTCCACCCAGCTTGTTATCAGTACATAGTTCAAAAGCCAGCATCCATGATGGTTTGAGGGTGTATTAGTACGCATGGCATCGCTGGCTTGCCCATCTGTGAAGAAACCATTAATGCTGAATGATATATACAGGTTTTGGCAACATAAGCTGCCATCCAGACAACGTCTTTTTAAGGAAAGACCTTGATTATTTCAGCAAGACAATACCAAACCTCATTCTGCATGTATTACAAAAGCATGGCTCTATAGTAAGAGTTCGGGTGCTAAAATGGCCTGCCTGCAGTCCAGACCTGTCACCACTGAAAACATTTGGCACAGAAATATGGCAAAGGAGACCCTGAACTGTTGAGCAGCTGAAATCCTATTTCAAGCAATGTGAAAACATTTCACTTTCAAAACTACAGCAGTGTCTTCTCAGTTCTTAAACTGAGTTGTCAAAAGAAGAGGTGATAAACAGGCCCCTGTCCCAACTTTTTTGGAATGTGTAGCAGGCATCAGGTTCAAAATGGGCATATGTTTTCAAAATAAATAAAACTTTTCAGTTTCAACCATTGTTGCCTTTGCACTATTTGCAATTAAATAAAGGGTTTACCTGATTTGCACGTCACTGCATTCTGTTTTATTTACATTTTGCACAATGTCCCAACTTTTTTGGAAATAGGGTCATTTGTGGGTAGTATTGAAAGCTGTCAGCTTGATGGCAATACCCAGCATGCACTGCACATCATTCAACCACTGGGAATACATCCTACTGCTAACATAGCCACTGATGTAGCGGCTAATAAACAAGAGATATATCCAGCTTTTAGGCAGTCTGGCTTCCTTCTTTATCAGCCAGCTAGCAGCCCAAAACAAACAGCTGCCCTTAAGTATCCGCTATCCCTTTTTTTTCTTTAATTCCTCTGACCTTCAAGATCAATCATCAGAAATGGCCTCAGGAGGGGAGGATGCCTAGTTTTTAAACCAGAACATTTTACTCTAGAGACCACTCTAGGATGTGATTAGGCTTGTTTACAACAGATGACATTTTGGCTGTAATGCCCTTTAAGGATCTACCTATTGAAAATTTCCTTAGGAATAAAAGTGGCACTGCCTGAAGGATCCCTTTAACCCTAAACCCTTAAGTGAGATATACAGTATTTCTCTGACTCAAACTAATTCAGCGTGAACACACAAAGCTGACACTCTGACTGTACAAATCACGAGAAGCTTCAACCACTGAGTCAAATGAAAACAGAAAGTAACTATGAGGGTCTGAGTGAGGAACAGAGAACACTGTGTTCTCTAACAGCCTGCACTAAAGCCACTAAAGATCACAAAGTACACAAATGCTTCCCGTCTTTCCAAATCAACTTGTGCATGTGCTTCTGAGCACCAACAGGCCTTCCTGTTCAGATATCTGAAGCCATGTTATTATTCTGTGGTTGACATTATACTCAAATTTGGAACTCCAGGTCGAAGCTAGTTTCCAAAGTCAAAGTCAGCTTTAGTGTCAGTGTAGTTTTTCCAGAACACGGCGCTACATTTCAACACAGAACAGCAGCAGACAGACAATAAGTGCAAAAATACAAAACAAACTACACTCTTAAAAAGAATTTTTTTAAAATTTCTAAAAAAAACAAGGATTCTTTAGTAAAGATGATGGTTTTATATAGAACAAAGAATTGCATAATTAAATTGTTCTTTTCATCATTAAATGGTTCTTCTGATTGATGGAGGATGTGCTGTAGATGGTTCTACATTGAATCTTTTTGGAAAAGGTTCTATATAGCACCAAAAAGGGTTCTGCTATTGTAAAAATGTCAAGCTTGTAGCAATAGAAGGACCCTTTTTGGCACAACAGACCAGCTGTCGATCCACAGCAGGACTGATAATAAAAAAAAAGTTAAAATCCATGAATTTAGTATGAATTTAGCCATTCATATGTAGATACTGATTACGGTTATGTGTTTAATTTCAGTTTGTTTTGATGGTGGCAATATTTGTACTGCTTTGTGATCGACTGACTTTGGAGCTTTGTATTTTAGACCAAAAAATCCCTGAAAAGAGAACAACAAAGATGCACAATCTTTAGCTTCTATGCTGCTAAATGCTGAACATTCTAAGAAGTTCCACTGCAGTACTCAGTACGTAACTTGTGTAATGTTTTTATGCAACTGTCAATACTTTTACTTGAGTACTGATTTAGGCTCCTCTACCCACCTCTAAACCTGATCATGCACAGTGCCAGTGTTTCTTCTGAAGCTGCTTCAGTAGCTGCAGCCTCAGATAGCAGTATTTGTTAGTCAACATCTCTGAAGAACATCAGCCTGTTTTCATACCCAGTTCATTTTCTAAAGACCCACCACAGTTTGATTTAAATGTGAAAGGTTGAAAGGTTGACAGTTACATGTGTGATAAAAACTGCATATTTACATGAAGTTTTAATCAGTAATATAATAGTATAGGA